CATTTTTACATGCCAAATATTTTAAATCTGTTAATTTTTCTTTATTAAATGTTTTGCCATTGCACTTCTATGTAGCATTATTTTACCTTTGTTGCGGACTATAATAATATACATGATAATATTAATTGTAGCTATCATGTTTTCTTACCTATTTATTCTATAGGCAATATTAATGATTATTTAAATACTGGAGCAAGAAAATTGCCCTTATACTTATGCAGTGTTATAGAAAGAACAGGTCCTCAATATATAATTTATAATAAAACATACATGACTAAATAGTACATTTTAACATGTATTAGGAAGTTATCATTGGTTTCCAAAGACAGGAATTTTTTATTAAAACTTTTTCATGTATTCTCACATATTAGATGTGGACATACATAAAAACACACATGCACACACACACACACACACACATACACACACACACACACACTTACATAAGCTTGGGGACCTCTTGGCTTTTGCTTTATACTACTTACATAAGCTTGGGGACCTCTTGGCTTTTGCTGCAGAAGTTAAGTAAAATTTCTACTTACATATTTTCAAACCATAGCACACTCTAGCATTTTATAGAAAGTATTTTATACATAGTTTTCAATTCGTGAACACAGTTTTTCTTTGCCAGGAATGAACTGCATTGTTGTTTGAATTTTCTACATGGTTTAAAGAGCAAATTTAAACACTGTTGTATTGTCTTTTTTGATATTGTGTAAATGTGTGGAAACAGCAGCATTGCTTATTATAGGCATCTACATTGTGGTTGATACAAATGTAGCTAATTAATGAATGCATCTCCTTTCATATCATCCTTTCCTGTGGATTTTTAATATACTCTCTCTGAATTTTTTAAGACTATATCTTCATTAATTGATATGACCATGCTAAACCACAGATGTGTTGAACAGACCTATGGAATGCGTTTATTCTTTGTAGATGTAATTAAGTAGCTTTTGACTAGTATCCTTTGATACTGTCCCCATCTTTAGCTAACCAACATTCTGCTATCTACTTTTGTGAACTGGATGCTTTTTAGCTTATGCATACAAAGGTAAAATTTTACCACTTGACAAATTGACGTGCATTTTGGGGGTGTCCCTGGTTGAAGTATTCCTCCATATGGAATGGGCTCCCAAAGTCCATACCAATGCTAGGCATAAGTACTGCACTCCTACAGGAGGTCCCGTAGATTTCCGAGGTTTCCTCACAGAAACCCATGTTCCTGAAGCCTAAATTTAATTTTTGCAAGTGCCATGCACATATGTGTATATGAAATTGTCAGAGAATATTTAAAAAATTGAAAAAGAATATGTTTTCCTACATTCTTATTTCCCTTTCTTCTGACTTCCATTGTTGCTCTTGAATAGTCTGTTGTCATTTGCTTCTCTCTTCATTTACAGAAGGTTCTTTGTCTTTCTGGAACTGTGTATCTTAGACCTTCAGAGTCACTGACCATGACTTAATGTTTAAATAACTGTGAATTTTTTCTTCTTTATTCTTTCTCATATTTTTTAGACTTTTGGGATCTCAGAAATGATCACCATCAAAAGCCTTCTTGCACTTCTAAAACAGAACACAGGCACCCGGGTGACTCAGAAGGGAAACTGTACTGCTCACAGTGTGAGACTCTGGACAGACCATTGTCTAAGTACCCACACATGATCAGGGCGCTCATACTATATCAGGTGCCAGAAGGCTAAATGGAAAAAAAACTGCATGGAGGATCAAGAATAAGGAAGCCTGATTTTTATTTAAAATAACTCAACAGCCCCTTCAACAAAATTATGATTATAGAAGGATTTTTTTCTCAAGATTAATCATCTCTCAGCTCTGTCTCATTCCAAAAATCCTTCATTGGCGATTAAACAACTGGTTGCCAAGGCATGTTCATGGTTCTAGCTTTCACTCATCTAACCTACTCATTCATGAAAATTTATTCACAGAACTCCTCATGTAGACTTTGAGTTTTTCTCACTTTTCAATGTTTCCTACAATTTATGTTTTGGGTTTTCTACATGATTGTGTCACTTCTTTGTCAGTTAATACTATCATTATTTTGAAAATTTTGTTCTTATGTGTAGTCTTTCCAAAATTTCCATTTAGCTCAGTTTTAGGAACACTTCCTTCTTGGGAAAGGTTAGTGGTCTCATTTTTGCTTTTCCTTATATATTTAGGCACAAAACCATCATTAATTTGCATTGTTTTAAAGTTACTTTGTGTTTGGAATACACATAGGACGAGTTACCTAACTAATTGCTCCAGCTAACTCACCTAATAGATTTTTTTCCATACACATATGTAATTATATTTGTGAGTTCATTTTTAAATTATAACAAATGTGACACTTTTTAAGTTTTTTCTTTAATTTCTTTTTCTCTCCATTTTTTAATTTAAATTGGAAACAAGGTTGTTTTACATGTCAATCCCAGTTCCATCTCCCTCCCATCCTCCCCTGCCCCCCACTAATACCCTAGCTATCCCATACCATTTGTGCTATTAATTACCAAATTCTCCTTCATGCTCTATTCTTTCCTTTTTATTTCCTCTCCCATCTCCTACCTCATTATTCCCACCCAAGTTACCTTGCTCTTTTTTTTTTTAAACCCACTTACTGCTGCCAGTGTGTACATGCGTGTCGAACCACCTGCTAGTGCATAGCAGCCTCATTGCCTTATCTGTATATCATACCCCAGTGTGTACATGGGTATTGAACCATCTGATGGTGCACAGGGGTCCTCATTGACTTATTTGTATATCGATCGTAACCCCCACCAAACCTGAGTGATGTAGTTGAATTGTTGAAGCTGGATTGTTTGTTATTCTTTCTTGAGGGATTATCCTTCATGGTTTTAGGTTGTCCAGAGTGCTACAAGCTTAGTTCCACTTCAGTTAAATTCCCTAATACAGTACTTTACATACAGACTTCAATTGGTTCCCAAGTTATTCTTTGTAACGTAAACATCATGAAGGCAGCCTTGGGATATTCTATTATAATACGCTTTTTCTGTGGTAAAACTTTATTGTTTTTGATACTTATTCCCAGGTATCAACTGACTTTCAGATTGCCAATGTGTTTGATAGACTACAGTCCATTGAACTACGATTTACAAACCCTGAATGTTTACACAAATCAGCTTCAGTACTTGGGTTTTGTGATTCTTGTTGGTATCTCAAAACTCTGTTATTTAATAACATGTATTCACCCACACTCCATTATTTCCTTGACCACTTGTACTTTTATTTTTGTGTGTATGTGTAAGTGTTTGTGTTGACTTGCTACAGCTAGATGAGAGGAAGGAACCTCAGATGAGGACATTTTCCATCAGACCCAGCTGTAAGGCATTGTTTAAATTAGTGATCAATGTAGGAAGATCTGGCCCATTGTAGATGGTGTCATATCATCCTGGATTCTGTAAGAAAGTAGACTGAGGAAACCAGGGGAAATAAGCTACATACCTCTATATTCTCTGTATCAGCTCCTGCCTTCAGGATTCTGCCCTCTCTGAGTTCCTGTCCTGACTTCCTTCAATGAACAGCAATATAGAATGTAAGCCTAATAAAACTTTCCTCACCAATTTGCACTTTAGGCATGGTATTTCATCACAGCAATAGAAACCCTAAGACACCACTTCTAATCTTTTCAGACCCATGTATCTAAACACACATCAAATAATTTTTACCTAGAAGTTTCTGTTTTATATATAAATGCTTTTTACATTGGCTTTCGTCAGAATAAGGAACTATAATAACTTCTTGAATGCCCAACTTTAATGAATTATCTAATCTCTGTGGTTTATAATACTTTCATTTCTTAGCAACTAGTCATTAATATATAATTAATTGCTTATGGTATAAAATAAATTCTTTAAGAATTCTAGTCCATTTAAATAGCAAAACAAAGGCTATCTCCTTACTGTCAATCTAAATTATTAGTGTATGGATTAATCTACTATAAATGTTTGCTGCCCTCAACTTCACCCATTCTCTCTGTAACAATGATTATGAATTTTATTACTCGGGAAGGATGCTTTACAATGTTGGCTCCATTAGAAAACTGTATCTCAAGTAGAACAATAAAACTTTAATTTAATACCTTAATTATAAATATGAAATTTATTTGAATGAGCTCATTAAATATAGTTAGTAGCTAACACTGTTAATTTTGCTAATGTGTAAACTTAATTATTTTCTTAAAATAGCATGCTATAATATATGTAAATTCAAAATATATTGTTTACTTTATTGAAAATGTGACTTAAAGAGCCAATTTATGCATTTATAAAATCTTTAAAAACTTTATTTTTATCATTTAATATATGAGTATAATACATTTTGATTATATGCATCCTTTTGAACACCCTTCAGACCCTCCTATGTCTCATAACCTCAAACACCACCTTCTCCAATTTATGGCATCTTCTATTATTATATATGTATATATGTATTATGTATTATATATTATATCTATATATCCACACACACTACCTACTGTGTCTAATTAATGATGCCTGTGTGCACTTGAATGTAGAGCAGAGCTTTGAGATGTGGGAAGCTCCTAAGAGGCTCCTGCCAGAAGAGAACCAACGTTTCCTCCCTCATCTGGGCCCCACTGACTATAGTTCTGCAACAGGGGTGGTGTCTTATGAGCCCCTTTCTCATCCAGGCAGGGATGTTGGTTTGTGTGAGCTTGTACAGGTGACACAGCCACTGAGAGTCCATGAGTACAGTATCCTGTGATGTCCAGAAGACACAATCTCACAGCAGTCTTTCTGGTCCTGAGCTTCTTATATTTCATTTTGTTTTCTACCTATCTTCCTGAAAAAAAAGTGTTTTGCAGATAATTTAAACTATGTTTTACTTATTTCACTTAAGTGATAAATGTTTATCTATGTTAAAATAAAATAATGGAAGAAATTTATTTTATATTCACATTTAAGTATTATCTTAACATTCACAAAATATTGCCATGTTTATCATTTAATTTTGGAGGTAGAAATGATACTCAAAAAGAGGAAGTGATTTTCTTCAGAAAATATACAGACTCAAGAAGTTCCAAAGACTACTGGAGACATGTGTCTTGAGAAGGCTTGCCGACCTTCCCCATAAAATGCATAAGTGAAATAATACGATCCAGGTAAAAAGATGAGAATTCTTTGGCATTCTGTATGATCTTTCATAGTTGTTCTTGGCATTTGGATACTTTGTTTCATCATCTGAAAATAATGTGTCCTTTTAAAATAATTATCAAGGAAATTATATAAAATAACATGTATGACACAATGAGGAATAAGCTTTGAATTAGTTTTATTCCTTCATTTTTCAGGAATCATAACTTTGCGTGTTCCAGGGATCTGCAATTTGTAGAATTCCACATTTTATCTTTCAACTAAATCATTTATTATACTTGTACCACCTTCTTCTTTTTCTATCCATAAAATGTTGTTAGTACTCACCTTCATAGTGAAGAACTACAAAGTCGGGACTTTGGTGTTGAAAGGAAGTTACATTCATGTATTCGTAGTTTGGCTTGATTTATTTGTTTTTATTTCCATTTCCTTACATTTCTGAGACCAAATAACTATGAAGTGTGTTTCTAAGATTATAATTATGCATTATCATTCATTTGAAAAGAGCTATTTCATGGTAACTAAAGCATTTGAACCCATAAAATATTCAAATTCCTTATACAGGTTGTAGATGAAATTATAAGAGAAAATGCCCTTTAGGTGACCCTCTGCAATCCAGCCTGAGAGCTTCCTTGAGGATTTGCAGCTATTCTGTGACTACTAGTGTGTGCTGAAATCACCCCATTCTGAGAAGGTAATGGATCTGACAGTCTAATTGGAGGGGACTTGACAATAAATAATCCATATTGTTTCATTAGTTTCTTCCTGCTCATGTAATTTTGATCTTTGATCACATTTTGCCTTTTTGCTCAAACACTTATTGAACATTCAAATCAGAGACAGGCTGAAGAGTTGGATGGTCTTCCAGATAATTAATTTTCTATTTTTTAACTTCAAAAAGATGATGGTAGCTCATGTTGTATAAAAAGAGTCCCCTCTTGTCTTTCTAAATTATGATTTTATGATCTTTGTCTTGAATCAATAACTCCCACAACCTACATTTATAACTGTATTACATCATTGCACTGGCCTGGTGAAAAAATGCCACCTAATCATTTATTTAATGCTTATTATGTTTCTTTTACTGGATAAACACAATTTACAGAAATCAAGATATATTGTTTTTTGGTTGAAATGTTAATTTCTATTGAATTCTGTCTTTGTTTTGTAATTTTTGATGCCTTAAATGTTTGGTGTAAGTATATATTCAGATATATTTGTAACTTTTATAGTAAAAATGAGCCATGTACCACACAGAAATTTCTGTTAACCAGGGTACTCACAATACAGGGACATGATTTGTCCAATGACTGGATGAATTGTATTTTTGGCAAGGTTATCTTTCCATGAGTCCTTCATTCTTTTAGAACTACATTCACCTTAGAGGGTCAGAAAGTTTTAAAAAGATAAATCTAGTTCATGTGACTGATAAAAGAAAGAGATTAACATACTTAAAAAAGGCACAGGAACAGTTACATACTGTGAACTTACACAGGAAATTATCAACTGGATGCTGAAATCTACACCTGACCAAAGAAAAGGAAAACTGGTATGTCTCTAAATAATGGAGGCAAGCACTCCTTTAACAACTGTGTTAGATCACTCTTCTAAATTAACAAAGCAATGCCAAGATGCCAATATTTTTAGAAAAATGATCAGAAGAATGCTGGAAAGTAAAATTTCAAAAGTCTTCATTTGTCAGAGTTATTTCATGGAAGACAGGCACAATTCTTTGAAGCACTGCAGTCACACTTATTCCTGTCCCTTATTGACTAAATTCAAAGTAATTTTACTTTCAAAACTTAAGTTGTAGTAAGAAATTCCAAAGATTATTTCTTATGTATCCAGCTTGAATATATATGTATATTCATATGGATATATGTATATTGCTTCTTCGTTAGGTATTCCTATCTTAAAAGCTTACATTTCTTGATTGTTTTACCTTGGGTTGGAGGAGAGTTGTGGTTTTGCTCCACTGGCTTGAATTTCACATGAATTTGGTTTTTGCAATACTGGTTGCAGAATAGTTAGCATCTAGGACATGATGCTGGTTGAGAACAAAATACAGGAATTTTGGCCAATAGCATTTAAAATGTTTCCCTTCGCAGGTGTATCTTGAGGCTAGCCTGGTCTACAGAGTGAATTGCAGGAAAGCAAGGGTTACACAAAGAAACCCTCTCTCAAAAATCAAAACAAAAATAAATAAAATAAAATGTTTCCCTTCATAAGACTATACTAAACCCATGTTGCTTATATCGCTTGAAACAAAACTTATTTGATTATGGACAAAGCAAAAGCATTCTTCTGGAGATCTTTTCTCTGGAGTTTTATCTCTGCCTTTTCCTAAATTAACCATCATGCTAGTCACATCTTTGATCATCCTTAGCTGTGTTACTTCCTTGCTCATTGTGTCTTCTGGAGGCTGGTGTCTTTGATATACCTCCTGTTCTCTATTATCTCTCCATTTAATTGTTCCTACCCAAGTTCTACCTTCAATGTCACTTACAATATGAATAATTCTCTTTCCTTTATAAGTGGACTCTACTAAGTTATACTTTAATTTGTGTTTGAAATTAAGTAAAAAAAGATAGTGATGCATTGTGAGAGATGGTTTTCTTATGTGACTGTTATTTTCATGACTTTGCAGACATTTTTAAGTCATATCACAAATATATCTACCTATTTTATAATGTGGACTGGGTTATGTGAGGCAGTCAGGCATTGAATGTCACAATTCTGCCTCCTGTCTTGTACTTTTTCACATTGGGCTTGCTCTTTGAAGCATCCCTTTCCCCTTTTGTATTTGGTTATGGTTTCCTCTTACTAGGGGCTGATACAAAAACATATCTAGGGGTGTTTACAATAGTCTTATCCTTTACATACAGAGGCTGTATTCTCAGTGGTCTTTGTGTTTTCCTAGAAATGGATCTTATCTGTTTCTGTAATTAAACTGCATCATGCATGCTTGTAAATGCATGACACCTTCTGGCACAATGACTTCTAGAAGGATACTTCTAGATTTAGATCTCAAAATTTGTTTTTCTGCATATGTTCACCACACATATTATTTGGTTATTGTTTGTATTAGTCACTTCAGCATTTTTATAAGCTGGACTCATTCATAGTTTGAGATGGATAGTTCTTCAACAAACAATTAAACTTCAATTTAACAGAGCTCGACCTGCTGTCACACCTGGAAAATAATTGGTTCCCTATCAAACTTTCAGCTCAATTTACATAAATCAAGCTCAAATAAAATTTTGTCTTATATCATTACTATTGAGATACATCTGTCAATGATAATGAAGTTTAATTAACCAATGTTTATGTTTCATAACTTAGCCTGTTAATTATGTTTAAACATGTGACCATTCTCCCTAAAGTGCAAAGTTAGAAAAATTAAATAATTTAACATTCCTAAAAGTGATAAGTAAAAACTATTAAACATCAATTAATCTCATGATTATTAACTTTTTAATGACCAATTTTAAAATCATTTGCTGCAAGAATGTTACAGAGTCTAATTTCTTTATATTAATTCAGTTCATAGAGTTTCTTAGGGAACAGAAACTGCCATGCTTCCTGAATGTCCTTGCCTGCCCTCACTGAATATAACAGGCAGCATTGGTTAATTCTCCACTGAGGATGGACAGTCTCTGTTCATGTAGATGTTTAAGCTGGTTTTCAAATTCTCCTTCCATAGGGAAAGGAGCTGGCTTGACACAGAATGTGTTGAACCCTTGGCAATGGCTTCTTGGCTTTGATAACCACTATACTAGTTTCCATCAGGGTCCATCTGGTCTTCCTGTGAGATTTTGACCAGGGCACATATGATTTCCTGCTCTGAAGTTCTGTTGTTGGCTGTATGTGAGTAATAAATGTTTCCCTGGATCTCTGGAGGTTGAGTCCCATTGCTCTGCAGATGCCTTCCTGACTACTAACCTTCAGCATTATGTTCATGTTTTCTGTTTTCTCAGATTGTAGTTTTTCACTGACAGATTTCTTTCTAATTAATTGTTTTCCCTATTCAAAGACAGTCATTGTCTCATTGTTTATGATCTGTTTTGTAATTGAACAAACGAATAGATAAAAACATACGGAATGCAATTCAAAGTTTTGGCAATAGCTGAACATTCACAGAGCCTTTTAAAATCAAGTTTATAACATTCTATTAGTCAGGGTTTTCTAGCGTAGCAAAACTTATAGAGTCTCTATTTTCATCTTTATACCTATATATTCTTTATTTTATTTTATTTTATTAGTTCTAGTTAGGGAACAAGCTTATTT